GCAGTTCACATCAATGTCCCTCTTAAACTTTGTCATATAATGATTAGCTGGGTAACACTTATGAAGTATTTTGAATGAAACTTCTTTGACCTTATTTGTCACAAAATACTTATTAGGAATGGTCCATACTATTTTCCAGCTAATGCCAGTGACAAAGTAATTCCAATAAAAAATCACATATGGAACAGATAAGGATTCTCTCTGAAATAAAGCACGGATATTCCTATTACTGTTTTTATGCTCGACAAGACAAACTTTCATATGTGTTCACAGGGTCGGGAGGAGAAATAGGCGGTACAAACCTGTGCGGTACAACTGGTAGAACACCTTTAAAAAGCATTCTGACACCCATAGGTATTGCAGCAAACAGTATGGCATATTCTTTGGGAGTTGCTGGAAATTTATATGTGTTTAGGAGTTCTGTGTAAGACATAAGCTGTCCATTAGTATTATACAAATGATTCACAAAAATGATCTGTTTCTCAACCCAATAAGAGAAAAACAATGATTTATTTTTATACACTGTGTTCCTGTTATTCCAGGTCAAGTATGTATGGGGAGTAAAATTATGTTTATAAATCAGTGACCAGGCTAATAGAACTTGTTTGTGAAACATTGAAAGTTTTTCTGGAAGCTTTCCTACATTGTAGTCACAACCCAGGATAAAAAATAGACCACCAAATTTAGAGAAGATATAGTGAGGAATAAAATTCCAAATGGAGACAGGATTTTTAAGAAAATGTTTTGCCCAGTTAATTTTAAACGTGTTGTTTAAGGTAGTGAAGTCCAAGATATTGAGTCCTCCATGTTGATAGTCGTTCATTATTACACTCTTTCTAATGTAATGTGTTTTGTTTTTCCACAAGAAGTTGAAGAGTATTCGGTCAATTTCCCCACAAGTTCTGTTGTCCACATGCAGAGATATGGCAGCATAAGTCAGGCGAGACAAACCTTCTGCTTTGGAGAGCAACACTCGTCCTCTTAAACCTAAATCTCTTTGTTACCACTGATTTAACTCAGATTGAGTTTTTTTAATTATTGGAGAGAAATTAGAGGTAATTCTGGTGTTTTGATCTTTACAGATAATCAAGCCTAAATTAAATCAGACTTCTTATGCATCCGTATTGGGGTTTAATTCCAAGAGCATCTGGCTGCAGACATCAGCTGGCGTCTTTGCCGTGACAGGAAATGACGTATCCGGAAAAACAAGTGTCATTACCTTCGCCGGAAGTCATTACCTTTGCCGGAAGTAGTTTTTTTCGGGTCATTACCTTTGCCGGAAGTAGTTTTTTTTTTCTTGAGTACGCTTTATTGACAAAGCACAAAAGTAGTTTGGATTTGTCAAAACCATACCGTGTCGTTTTTCTCTTCGATTTGTACACTTTTAAGAGAAAAATTACACGGTGGGTCATTACCTTAACCAGAAGTCATTACTTTCACTGGAAGTAGTTTTTTAAAAAACAAAACTTACCGGATAAAGCTTTTTATTTCGGATTTTTTTTTTCTCTTCAGATCTGGACCGGCAAACTTAAGTAACGTTGTTACCTGCGTTGCATGAAAATTGAATATTAAATCCCTTTGTTCTTCAGACAGGAAATTTTAATGACAGTAGTACATACATACATACATAGACATATATATATATATACACACACACACACACACACACACACACACACACATATATGTATATATACACACACACACAATAAAAGGCTGTAAAGTGAATTAAAAAACATATGGATAAAATGAGAACACGTTAAACTAAGACTTTTCAAAATGTGCAAACAAAATATTACTGGCTAAATATTCAGTTTTATTGTTAAGCCCAAGATGAACTTTTGACCTACACCAATTGCTAAAGTACAGGACTCCCAGAAGCAGTGAAAAACATTTCAGCAACACTCCTCTCTCACCAGCAACAAAAATTAGTTACTAAATATCCATAACACTGTCCTATTGTGTATCACAGCAGCTCATTGCAACAGAATTTAACTACTACAGCTGATAACTATTTAGCTAGTTGGTATTTATTTTGAGTGAAAAACAATAAAACCAAAGAAACACTTGATTTCACAACCATTTTATTTTGGGTACAAATGAATTTGCTGAAGCATGGCTTTCTCAACTGCATATCGATTCATCCCCTCCCATTTTTCCAACACTTTTGTTACCTGAAAAACATGCAGGATTACTTCAACGTCGTCGTCTTCCTCCGCTTGTCCGGGTCCAGGTCGTGGGGGCAGTATCCCAACTAGGGAGCTCCAGACCGTCCTCTCCCCGGCCACCTCCACCAGCTCCTCCGGCAGGACCCCAAGGCGTTCCCGGACCAGATTGGAGATGTAACCTCTCCAACGTGTCCTGGGTCGACCCAGGGGCCTCCTGCTGGCAGGACATGCCCAAAACACCTCCCTGGGGAGGCGTCCAGGAGGCATCCTGACCAGATGCCCAAACCACCTCAACTAGCTCCTTTCGATCCAGAGGAGCAGCGGTTCTACTCCGAGTCCCTCCCGGATGTCCGAGCTCCTCACCCTATCTCTAAGGCTGAGCCCGGCCACCCTGCGGAGGAAACTCATTTCGGCCGCTTGTATCCGCGATCTCGTTCTTTCAGTCATTACCCAAAGCTCATGACCATAGGTGAGGATTGGGACGTAGATCGAGCGGTAAATCGAGAGCCTGGCTTTCTGGCTCATCTCCCTCTTCACCACGACAGATCGGTTCAGCGTCCGCATCACTGCAGACGCTGAACCGATCCGCCTGTCGATCTCCCGATCCCTCCTACCGTCACTCGTGAACAAGACCCCGAGATACTTAAACTCCTCCACTTGAGGTAGGACCTCTCCCCCGACCCGGAGTTGGCAAGCCACCCTTTTCCGGTCGAGAACCATGGATTTGGAGGTGCTGACCCTCATCCCAGCTGCTTCACACTCGGCCGCGAACCTATCCAGCAAGAGCTGAAGGTCAGAGCTGGGTGAAGCTAGGAGGACCACATCATCCACAAAAAGCATAGACGAGATTCTCCTGCCACCAAACTCTGTTAAGGATTACTTCATACACTGTCAAATGTCGAAAAGTAACTTTTATACCAATCACTGCTGAAGACTGCGTTGTACCTCTGGAACAAGGACATCAAACACCAAGTCCAGAAACTGGAACTCTCTCTTCTTTATTAGTTTATCTATTCCTGAGCATGAACCAATCCGCTCTGTCAGCTCGTCAACCTATAAAACACGTTAACATAAAAATGAACAAAACGTTCCTCTCAGCATTAGACAACGGACCCAGGTGGCCCACTAACCATGCATCCACATAAATAAATGTGATGCAGCTTATTGTAAGTCAGTATACATTTACCTGTGCATCAGCAAAGTGGAACATCAGTGGCTCTAGTCTTTGCTTTAATTTAAGCGAGACACCTGGATTGTGCCAGATACATGCGGCCAGACTTCACTCCACCTGCTGCAGAGATCCTTATACACAGTCTGAGTAGAGACAAGAGTTAAAAATAAGCAACATTACCACAGAAAACAAGGGATTGCATTATCCTATGTCCAATTTTAGAGTCTTAATTTATTATAATTAAACATTACCTTGATTTCCCCATCTGAAATCACTGCCTGTGTTCCATTTTTCAAAGCCTCGATTGTCCTGTAATTTAGATAAAAATACATCTTATTAGCAAATGAAGAATACAAGCACATGTAAGGAGTTTTGTCAGGGTCACTTGAAGAAGTCCGATATTCATTTTAGATCTATATTTAAGGCCTGTAACTCCTGAATGATTTGCAGCTACATGTGCTTAAATCCGGTAATATTAATATAAACCAAACCCGATCAAAGCAGTCAGTCGACAAAAATATCTATTTTTTATAAGGTTAGGATTATTCTGAAACAGAATCAGAAGGAGGGCGGCATTAATTAGAGAAGTGGCTACTATTTCAAAGTTATTGTACCTGTTGCAGGACACCTGATTTGTGCAACCACAGTAGAATGACCCAGCACACCACACACAAGTCAATAACTGAAAAATATTTAGAGATATTGAAAGCTAAGCTTGTCCAGAAAATACATTTTATTTCTGGGTGCACAGGACCAGTTCCAGTGTGGGCCAGATGCTGAAAAATAAATTCATAAATCTGTCTTTTTGAAGTTTCACAAATCAGAGGAAGGTTTCACAAATCACAAACTATGTTTTATGCATTCCTACGAGCCCAGAATAATCTAAAACAGGTTTGAAGAGTGTATGTATTGTAGGTTTTGAGCTAGAGCAGAATAAAAATGGTCAGAGTAGAGAAAAATTGGGTGTATTAGCCCTTTAGCCATTTCCCGAATCGGAAGCTAACTTTAGCCTCGTATGAAAACTAGTGATTGAAACCACTTACAAATCTCTGAAAATCTACGCTTTTTAATTAAAAAAGGGTATTAATAACGTTTCAGTCAAGTCAGTATTAGAAATTGTGGTCTTTATATCATATCTAAATTATATATAAAGTTAATATTATTACTTTAACTGTTTTAACAAACAGGGAGACCAGAAATTCAAATAGCTAAGTTAAAGCTAAGCTACAATTGCTGATAGCTTTATTTATGTATCTTTTGTGTTAGCTAGCTTGTGATCTCCCTGCATTAGTTTTAAGACTGCGTGTTAATATTGATACAATTAGCTATGAAACACGGTGCCTTTGCAGTAATTCTCTGGTAAAGCTTTAAAAGCTACAGTGCCTACATTTAAGAACTAAGAACGATTGCAACAATTAGTTAATTTCATCCTTATCCTTCTTTCTTTATCTATCATCCTTATCCTTACCTTTCCTCAATTGAAACCCGCCGAGTATGGTTGAAACAAAAACAACGTAGCGGCCGCCAAAAAAAGACCAACTTCCTGCCGAGGTCTTTCGCTCGTCGATTTTCCGGTAAAAGTAATGACACGCCATCTTGCTCTCGACACACCAGCTGATGTCTGCAGCCAGGTCCTACTCTTTAATTCTGCGGAACCCAAGTCTTCAAGCTATGTTTCTTACCGGACTTCCGGTTATATGTATTCTGGCTGGATAACGATAGCTTTCCCAGAGTTTTTGCTGGACTAAAAGATAGAACAAATCTTTTCAAAACGCCGAACAAATACAGTGTATGTAGAAAGTAATTTTATTTTGTAAGCGATTTTTTTAAACGGTTCATGTCTCACAGATATCTGCTTATTGTTTAGCTAGTCGCTGCTCTCGGGCTGTTTGTTTAAAAAACACCTAAATCTACCGTCAGCACTGGCCTGTGCGACGTATTTAGCAACAGTCTGTATACATGTATTTTAACCATAACGATATTATCACGGGAACTTAGTTACTAATTCTGTGTAGCTTACAGCTAACCGATTAGCTCTGGTTCAATATATATTGGCCAACAATGAGTTTCTCTGCGTTACGAGTCTGGTTGGCTGCATACAATTAATATGTTTTTGTTTACAGTTATTTTTGTTAATATAATTAAAGCAGATTGCATCCTTATTTATTATGTAGTGTTACCTCAGACAATTATAAAAGCGACGTTCTTTTAATATTAGTGTGAACATTTCTTTGCGTCTTTATTTTTTCAAATTTTCATCAAACATGGATTCAAAGTTTCTGTGCTTTGACCAGTGTGGATTTTTAGCCCATGTAAATCAGCCACTTTGGTTTTATATTTGAGCGAAGAGATTTGTTTGTGGAACAGCATTTTCTTGCCCAATAAATAACAAATTATAAAGTGTATATTGTATTCTCTTCAAGTTTTTTGCTTAAAATAATCTAAGAGACTTGTCATATTTCATACAAATAAAATTTGTATACATATAAATTAAGTTTTGATTAAACAGTTTCCAACCATTATTACTGTACTCTTTTCACAGTTTAGGGCCTCTAGCATACAGATCCTGAATGCTACATTTCATAAAGTCTCCCAAAAAGGCATAATTGTAACCCATGACCTTTGTTTTTTATGTTGTTCCTACAGGCTGATGGCTCGTCACTTTCCTCCTGTCCCCTCTGATGTCACCTACTTTCTGTCCTCAGTTCTTCCTCGTGGTTTTGCTTTGGGGCCTTCGCTGCTCTGTGAAGGCAGTGTGGGGCTTTGGTGGGTCGGCCACCCGCTGGAGGCCGGGACTCTGCTGGGAAAAGAAGGCGACACAGACTGGATCTCCAAGAGTTACCCGGTAACCTACAACTGATGCAGCAAACTCACAACAAACAACAGCGGTGTTAGTTAGACCCTCACAGGAAGTCAACAGACCAATCACCTACATTATATTTATAGACTGGATATGTCTCCCCATTCTTTTCATTTTACCCCTTCAGCTAATAAAAGTCATAATTCAGACCTTCGTTCCTGCTCGATGCAGCAGACACTTTTAAAACGGCTTCACTTATTGAACATTGTGTTGAGTTCATACAAACCAAACACATGGGCTGTTTTCTAACTGCTTTTCTTCATTTGATCATCTGCACTTGTCCATACCCCAGAAAGTAGAATTGAAATGCTGCTGATTATGTGATTGAGATATAGCCTCCAAACATCTGGAGCTTCCACATGTTTGATGCTGCACCTCTACTAGGACAAGCATTGCAATATAATGGAGCATACGTCTATTAAACTGTCTGAGTCCATCGTGTCTGACTGACTTAACGTTTGTTTCATCAGCCTTGAAATCCTTCGCAACCTGTCTCTGTCTAGTGAGACTGTATAACCATTTAATGAAGCGCTGACCCCATGGGAAGATAATGGTAAATGTATTTGCATAGTGCCTTCTAGGGTCCTACAACCCCCCCCCCCAGGGCACTTCACAATGCAGTCAGTCATTCATGCATTTACACACATTCACACGCTGGTGATGCTGAGCTATAATGTAGCCACAGCTGCCCTGGGGTGCTCTGACGGAAGCAAGGCTGCCAAACACTTGTGCCACCGGTCCCTCCAACCGCCAAGGTCTGTCTTGCCCCAGGACACAACAGAGATGATCGTTCAACCCTCCGATTACTGGACAACCCACTCTCCCTTCTGAACTACTGCTGCCCATAATGAATCTGTCCTTGTAATTTTCACCAAATATTCCACCGAGGAAAAATTATGAGAAGAACCAGCAAGGCGCTTCTCATGTGAAATGATTTCCAATGGTTCTGCAATCTGAGCTCAACCTGTCCATCTACCATCTGAGTCCAACACTGACGATAATTACTACCAGAAATATGAAAGTACATACTTTATCCTGCTAGGAAAACAAAACCTGTGCATTCAGATGCTAACAAAATCTTTTTGGAGATAATGCAAATGTCTGGTTTTTTTTAGACACTGATGGAGATGTCCGCAAATCAAGAAGCTCCATTACAAAGAGCCCCCTGGATCAAGTAAGTTCACACAAAGTTAAGGTTTATGCTGAGTTCTTTTAATTATTTTATATCCAAGGCTGATCAAAGTCTTAGCGACGGTCCAATTTAAAACCTCAGACAAACGTTTGAAGGTTTGACCTACAGATGGCGATGTGTAACTGTTAAAGGGTTCAGCATCACTGGAATTACAGTAAAACCTTGGATGGAGCCATGGGAGTGTCTGTGTGAGTTGATTCCTAAAAGGCGATAAACTCATTATGTGAAGTTAGTGGCATAAAGAGAGTAAGATAAAGAAAAAAAAAGATTTTTACAGTCTAACCCATACTTGTCGACAACACTCTTATCAGACTTTTATTTTTACGTTTTGCCTCTGTCTCAGAGCCACGTTATGTGACGTTTTTGAATAATTATAATTTTTAAATTCATGTAGAAGTTCCTGTATGCTGCTGGTACAGCCCATTTCCTTGGGAAAACGTCCTTTAGTGTTTTAACTTCTTCACAGACGTTATTATCGTAGTCTGTGGGTGTGTAATTATCAGACTGGGAAACTGCCGGACTCTCTTTGCTGTCTCAACCTGTAACATTTCTCCTCTAAACTTCAGCAGCTGTATTGTCTGTAATGCTGTTAATCTGTTAATCTTTTATTTAAAAATGTGAATGAAAAACAAAAGAAACTCATGTTGAAAAATCCAGACTTTTTTGTTAAAGGTGAAATATGTTCAGCTGCCATTTAATAGCTGATGTCTTAATTAAAATCAGAAACTCCTCCTATTTCTGTTGTCTTCAGACTGGTCCAATCCCCCTGTGGGCTTGATGGTGTATTTTGTCTGTCTTTTATCTTTTTTTTTTCTTCTTGACGGTTGCATCTGTGACAACATTGTCTCTTGCTCCAGGCTGTGTGCTTCTAGGTGTCCTGATTAAACACTGCCCCAGTTTTCTCTCCCACAGAGTGAAACTGTGAAAAGAAAAGCAACATCTTGTTGATATTGTTGACGGACATTCATGTTTTGTAGTTTTCCTTCTGTGAATGAGCTGGTACGTGCACGTGCTTCTTCACCTCAAGTGATTGGTTGCACCGTGGGTGTGGTTATAAATATAAGCGCACACCTATTGTTTGGTATATTTTTGTTTGTGCTGGCCTGCATTATGGTGGCGGGGTGTACTGGGGAGAAATTTCTGTTGACCGCTGTCTCATCAATTTACACCTCGAAAGATCTGCACTGTCTATGAAGTATTGTTTGGCATCTAATCACCATCGATTACACCCAAGGCCGAATTAACCATATGGGCAACTGGGCAATTGCCCAGGGCCCACAAACCCTAAAGGGCCCAAGGCATCAAGGGCACGAGCAAAATACTGTAGGCCTATCTGTAACCTCCCGCTTTATATTAAACTAGGGTGACCGTCCTGTTTTCCCCGGACATGTCCACTTTTCACTCTCTGCCCGGGCGTCCGGACTGGGGGTTCTTGTATTGATGAAAATGTCCGGCTTTTCATCCAGGAGCAGGGATCGAATTATGGGGGGAGCTGGATATCCTACACATCCAGGGGAGCCGGAAAAAAGTTGTCTACCGATATTACATCATTCATGGACTCTTGAGCAGAGAGCACAGAGAGCGGCAGAGCGATGATCGTTGTTGTGCAGTGCTCCAGGCTGCCGCGTCCAGCGCACGGTCCATTCTCAAAGTGGCGCAACCAAAAAACTATAATTAGCACACGATCGTTCATGTCCGCACATGTTCTCTACTTTCTGTCTTATTTGTGCTTGAAGCGCTCTGCCACTGCGGAGCTCATCACCTGTGTTGCGGTGATTTCACCTCACTGAAGCAGCATCGAAACGCGCACTCCGCTTTGCGTTCAGGAGATCTTTGATCTGCTCAAAAGTAACTGATGAGGTGAAAAAGTAAGAATCCAGGCAGCAGTTTTTCTGGAGAGTTTAGAGGCGATGCAGGAAGATGAGAGACAGACAGGACAGGAAAATAGTTAAATAAAAACAAGAAAACAAAACAAAGTGTTGAAAAGTAAAATGTAGGTAGATTTATCTCCACTGCACGTTTTTACCTGTATAAAAAAATAAGTTATACACATGTAATATGTATACATCTGACACAATTCAGATCACCTTCAAAACTCAGTCACACACCCAGGGCCGTTTCAAGACATTTTGGGGGCCAAGGCAAAATGCAGAAAAATGAGATTTTGCAATAAATATGCAAAATATCTACATATGAATTGTTTTAGAGCCCTTTTATTGGCAGAATCTGATATTAATTTAGTTCTTACAAAAAATGGGTCCCAACATGGTTTGTGTGGCGTTGCCATAGTGTGATGTCATAGGCACAGATCCCCTGTCCTCTTGTTTGGAAATGGAAATATGGTCACTCTATATTAAACAAACTGTCCACCCGGGCTTTTGCGCTGCACAGAGACGCTTCGCTGCCTATGACTTTGAACGTCAGTTGAGAGTCAGTCTCATGCAGACTGACCAATGAAGAGAGGGCCTCAAGTTAAGACCCTCTCCTCATTGGTCAGTCCACACGAGGTGGGTCAAAGGTAACTCTGGCCGGGTTACGTGATGTCATGCATTCAAGTAATGAGTATATTTACTGCATATTACAGTAATATATTCTTTATGTGAGCACATTATGGTGATCCTCGGGTCATGATGATGGGGCCCTTGAATACTGTTGCCCAGGGTACAACAAAGTGTTAATCTGGCCCTGTTTACACCAGGTCCAAAGTTGCACACAAACTAAAAAATATATACATTTTTAGTAATGAATAATCTAATTAGTTACCGTCTGCTTTTATCATAACGCCGTTTCTGTTGCTGATAAGAAAATGTGTGCGTTACTAATTCAGCTGCGTGGTGTGTTGAAGCCATCATCAGCTGATAGGGAGCTAAAGAGGCGAATGTTTTCATCCAAGTGCATCACGGCCCGCAGATTCGCTGCTGCACGCGTGGACCTGCAGCTTTGATCTTCTTGGCGTGACAGCGAGACATTCTGAAGGTCCGCTCACCCGTTCACCGCTCAGACGTCACAATCTTCTACCATCCTAGATCATCCAACATCATCCTACTATAACCTGTTTCTGCTCATTTCTTTCGTCCCGCTGTAACACTGGTTACATCAGTCTCAGACGTCATGGGCGCTCAGGTGTTATTAGAACTACCTGTGTGTCATTACCACCCAGCTTCAGCTCTTCTGTGTTTGGGTCCTCCATCAGATTTGTGCTTCTTCTAGTGTCATTTTATAGGACTTTTATTTATTTAGCCATTATTAGATTGCCAGCAACAGAAATGCTACTAAAAACACACAATTATGTGAAGCTAGAAAACTTAGAATACTGTTCAAAATTACATTTATTTTAGTAATTTAAGTAGACTGAGAGACCATTTAAAGGCTCGGGAACCTTACAGGTGTTTCTATTTGCAGTTATAAATTTTAGCTGATTGGGGTCTTGTTAAATATCACACAGTGACCTTTTAACAAATTAATTTCAATAATTCAGTTTTATAAAAACCATTTGGAAATACATTTTATTATGTTCCAGTCATTAGTCATTTATATTTCAGTATTGTAGTCATTTATAGTAAATTAATTAAGTTTAGTTAAGAGGAGAACCCATTTTTCTTGCATTCTTTAATGAAAAAAGTAATGAAATAGTTATTTTTTTTTGGTAATGAGTTACTTTTATAATCTTGTAACTCCGTAAGTAACTGAGTTACATTTTGACAAAGTAATCAGTTACTTATTACGTTTTTAAAGTAACGTTCCCCACACTGTAAATGAGACCCCTGTTCTTTATCAAATGCATAGCACTTTGTAGCGTCATATGGTCAGAGGTGTCTAAACATTTACAACACAGACCAGAATTGCTGTGTTGGAAAGGCCTAGCCTTGAAATCTAGACGGACAGTAGCAGAAGCAAACTTTTTGATGGCTTGCCAGGCTAGAAAAGGCACACGAAATCATTAGACATAAAAAGATTCTCATATGTTCACTTAAAGCGTCAGAGTCTTTGAATTTAAGGGTGAGGGCCTCGAGGGCCGGTATCCAGCACGTTTTGATTTTAACTCTGCTTCAACACACCTGATTTCAATCAGCAGGTAATTAACAGGCTTCCACAGAGCCTGACGAACTGCTGCACAGGCGATTCAACCACTGAATCTAGTGTGTTGGACTAGAGAAACCTAAAACGTGCTGGATACGGGCCCTCGAGGCCCAGAATTGAGTATCCATGGGTTGGCTGGTCTTAAAAATAACTTTTAGTTGATTGTGGTCACTCTTTCTTTAGTCAAGTCGTATAAATGATTCTTAAAAGTCTGCTTTTAGTAAACGTCAGTGAGGATTTTTGGTTTGTTTTACTGTGTAACTAGAAATGGGGTTAATTGCAACAAATACTTTGTATAATGCCTAATCTTTTTTTGTTCAATTGTTTTAAAACTGTTTACATTTTTGTTTCATATAAATTAAATAAAAATGTCTATTTGGGTATGTTCCTGTGTGATTCTCATTTTCACTGATGAAAAGACTCAAACTGTGCTAAAAACGTTTAATCACATCAACATCAGAAGGTGTTAATATAAACATTTACAGCCAAGTAGACAGTTAGATTGCTTCAGTCCATTTCATGTTGTTTCCTGCTGTCCATGTGGAGGAGCTAGAGGGACATTTACCTCACTGTCACCCCTGGAACCCTGAAAAACTCTTGTTTACCACAAAGGTTGTAATTAGAGTCTTACTTAAGGAAGATAAAGAGTTATTGAACAATGTTCAGAGCAGATGAGTCACTGATCTGTTTGATAAAATACATTTCCACATCAGCATATTTTAAAATCACTTGTTTGAAGCTTTGTGAGCAAAAACTCCAGTCAGCAGAAAATAAAACTAAACCAAGATGGAGAAGACTCTGAGGAGAAACAGTTTCTTCATCAAGTAAATGAAAAACCAAGCAAGAGCATAAAATCATTGCAGCACAGTGGTTAAGTAGGAATATGACAGCCCAGCTCATCCAGACCTTTGTTGTTCCTACTTGGTGGAGCTTTATGTGCGGTGAGGGATGGAACGCATGCAGAAAATACCCAGAAGCTACAGACTGTGGATATCTTATTAAACTCCTGCTCTTTTAGTGTACTGATTCAAACAGATTGAGCCTATAAATCTTAAATGCATCTCAAAAACAATTATAAACACTAAATTAAAGAAAATAAGATAGGCGCTTGATCCCTGCAGGGAAGTGACATTGTTATTGTTTTATTTAAAGGGACAAAAGAAAAGCCGTATTTTGGCTAGAACGTATAATGACCGTGTGATAAAAGAGACCTTGAAATGGATCAAAAGAAAAGACAGAAGAACCAAAAGAAGATATGAAACTGAGAATGCTCAAATTGTTAATCTGGAAAAAACAACTAAAGTATAAAGGGACGTGTGCGTATGTTATGAACCAGAAGTGAAACAAACCAACCTGATGGGGTAATGAGGAAACAAGGCCAATTAAATAAAGAATGATAAAGTGAATACAGAATGAACCTCCTTCATTTATTGTGTGTGTTGGATATTAATCTGGCTCAAGCCTCACATTTATTTAATAACTGGTTTTCAATTTAAGTAAATTCAAATATTATTTTTTGTAGCCTCAAATCATCTCAATGAGTTCTATATTTAAGTACAATGGCAAGATTACGCAAATACAGAGACCTTCATCAAACCCTGATCAAATCACATTAAAGGAAGAAACAGCGTGGGCTGTAATAGGAATATTCACTAGCACTTTGCCTAAATAACAATGAAAAATGTTTCAAGATTTGATTTGATAAGAGCCAAATTATCAGGGAATAGAATCCTAACATCAGGTGGACTGTTTTATTACAAATGGCCATTAATAAAAGCACTAAAGCATGGACATACAAGTGTAGTCAATGTTTACTCACATGTTGCGGCCTGTTAATGTTGTGGGGAGTGTATGACAAAATTCAAAGAAACCAAAATCAAAAGTTAAATATTTTTAATTACTCTGGCGGCTATTTGACCGCTCTTCTTGGCAGAATCAGTAGCGTTAATTTAACTTGTGGTTTCTTGGCACAAACATGTCTTTTTAGCAAAGTTTCCAAACTTTCTAAAGTTTATGGCCATTCCGGAAGCTTAAGTCAGCCTGTGTTATCCAGTCGTGTTTCATGTGCTTGGGGCCATTGTGCTTTTGCACACCCCATTACGTTACCACCACCTAAAAATAAGTAAATGTGACCAAAATAACTTAGTGTGAGCTTAATCATTAAATAATTATTTTATTCTCATTCTGATTAAACAATTTAGAGTGGCCATATCATTGAAAATCCACTTTTTGGAGCTTTTTACCATGTGGTATTGTTATTTTCTCATGAAATGATTAAAGCTGGGTTTATTTTTCATTTGGGTAGGAATAGGCCATGTGGCCTAAATCTGTATCACAATATAGTATTTTCTTTTATTCATTTTTGCCAAAATGACTATTTTTGAACATTCTCACATAGAAAGAAAACAATCTTTTATATAGCACCTCTCAAGATAAAAATCACGAGGTGCTTCACAAAAACAAAAAAATGAATGTACCCAAAAAATAAAAGTATAAAATGATAAAAAATAAATTATTACAAAAATGTTTAAAAGAAGAGAAAAAACAAATGTAAGGAAAGCTGCCGTTTTATCGGAGAGGGCGTAGTGCCAGTTCTGT